ATATTACAAATCCTGGAGGAGGTCATAAACCATAACTTTGTTAAACAGAACTGAAACACTTAAATAAATTGACTGAACTATTTTTTACACACTATCACCAGTGGAAAACTCAAGCTGGAAAACACTGCACAATGCCCGTTTTGTGTAGCATGTTCTCACTACAGACTAGAAACAAAGCAGAATCTTACGCAATTTGCAGTTTCTAATAGAAGGAAAGCGCATTTGGAAAATCAAGCCTCGGTTTTAAAATCTGAACAATTTAATGACCCCCAATTTAAAGCTGGGGTTTGGTTTCTTTATACCACTGTCCCAGCTACAGTTGCTTCAACCCTGTCTTGGGGAAATCTAGTGTTATTATGATATTTCTAAAGGGAGCATCATGTTGCACTCACCATCTGGGAAGCAGCCTACTACAGGATTTCCTTCCCTTCAGGGAGGGACATTTAATGCAAGGCCATTATCTGCTGTAAGCAGGAAATTATGCTAGAAAGGTTCAACTACTTAAGCCTACTTCTTTAGAGTCCCATTAAGAAGGCAGCAACTTTAAGGTTTAGCCTTAAAGTGAAAGACTTTTAGGCATTAAGGTTTTTGAAAGATGTTCAGGCAGGACAGTATGTCCAAGTACGTGGGAGGGGTTTTCAAAGAGCAAAGGTGTGCAAGAGCTTAATTTCTTCAGGAACTTGGCAGAAAATTCAAACGGCATGCAAAATTCAGACAAATTATTCTTTCTGGGACATAAGCCAAAGACACTGGCACAATCTTCTAACAACATTTTGTGACCTTTACTCATGTTTAGGACATACCACGTGTTTCAGGCATGCTATTTATTCTGAAAGACACACCTGCTAAATACAGTACAATACTAAGGGCCAAAGATTTTGTTCTTAAAATTCAAGCTATGCAATCTAATGAATATACCATTCCTCAAAGCAAAAACTCAGGAAGAAATGTCAAGTATTTCTCTGCTCCCCACCAAGTCAGTCTGGACTCTGTAGAAACAGGAGCTGTGTATGGGATACCAAGAAACAACTGTTTTCTGCTGCCTTGTGTTTTAAAAATATTCAAGCAAAGTCTAGCCTAAAAGAGTCACTAAATAGAGTTAAAAACAAAACAGAACAAATTCAGGAAAGCAGAAAGTTTACCTTTAGTAAATAAAGAGAACTCTGGTTCTGGGGAGAGTGGAAAAAGTATCTGGCATCTTCCTAACCTTTGCATAATTAATAAATCCTCTGAGAAACAGCAGAAAACCTAGATGGAAGAAACACATTTGTCCAGTTAACACACGTGTTGCTTCTTCAATTAGAGAGGGAGAAGCTCAACTCACCGTTACCAGTATGGAGGGACCTAAGTTGCTGGATGCACAATAGCTGATTTAATACAAGAAATTTTTTTGTATCAATGACATCTAATCTTTCAATTTCAGGCAATCTCAAAAACAAACTTTCCTTAGCCAAACACAAAACTTTTGACTCCAAATGAGATCCAGTCACTTCCAAAGAAGGAGGGGAAAAAAAAAAAAAAGAAAGACCACAACCCACTCTTCCATTTAAGATATAAGAACAGATACAACATCAGTTACTACGAAGACAAGCATTGTTCTCTTCTTCACTCCTCCTGGATGATAAATAGGATGCTGCCACCAAGAAATGACAACAAAAGGACAGTGTTTATGTGTACCTTTAAAATGTAGAAGGCATTCAGTAAAAGGAGTACTCCTCTGAGGGTTACATTTCAGTTTTACATCTACACACACGTATTTTAATAGCCCGTATAGCAATGCTCACAAAAGCCCTAATCGCACTTTACAGAGTTTTAAGCATGCATTCCCTCTTCTCCTCAGAACAAACACTCACCTAGTACAAGGAAGACCCACCAAAGCCAATACTGGCCATCAAAGTAACCAGGAAAATAGGTGGAGAACTAAAAAAAAAAACAAAAAAAAACAAAAAACCAAGTCAGAGCACACGGGATTTTCTGAATCCAA